TCGGGAATGTTCGGGGAGCCATGTCACCCCATAGCTCTTTGTTGTCTTCACCACTTTCTGAAACCAATAGTCCGTTAGAATGTATTTCAGTGAGTAGTTAGTTATATTTTTGTTTAGATTTATTCTTAAAATTATTCTAGAGATGTTTTGCCATGGTTGAGAACGTTTATGTGTTCATTATAGTTAAAAATATGTAATATATGAATTCCTTTTAAAATATAAACTTGATAGTATATTGTATATCGATAAAATAAATACCGGTTGAATTGTCGAGTTCTACAAATTTGTTAAGTGTTTCCTTTTTCTCTTAAAACGTCATAAAAAAAAGGAACTCTCGGAAGAGTTCTGAATTGGTCGTCTTCTAGACTCTAGTAATGCTCAGTTACTAAAGAATGATTTTGACTGAATTGTATGACCTTAGATGTTGGTGTGTATGGTTGGAATCAGACATAAATGTTTTTTTTCCATGTTCCAGATACGGTGTTTCCTTATAACTCTGACTCTTTTCAATGTAATTCTTGTGAACTTGTACAGTAGGTATAATAAGAATTTGATATATGTAAAGTGAAATCAAAGTAATATGATTTAGTACGGGGAGGTCTAATCGAGTACTCAAATCGTGTTAATTTTTTGATAATGCATGTATATTTTTATTTCGACTGTTCTCTAAAACTAACTTCTTCTAATTAAACATGATGATCAGGGGTCTAAGTCACTCAACGGAGGTGATTTCAATTTCTGGAGAGATCTTGGTTGCTTGGGTGAATTATTCGTAAGATTTGAAGTTTAAAAGTTTTATTTCTTACTCACTTACTTTCTAATTTATTATTGTATTACTTCTATGTTTTTTATTACTTCTGGTTCATTCAAAAAATACTTAGATGGACAAAACATGGATGGATCTACCGAGGTCAAGCAATGAATATCGAATAGGATTGCAACATTTTTTGAACTTAGCCTTCTCGAATTCAAATGATGGGATGATCTTATGCCCGTGCAAAAAATGTAAAAATTGTCTATGCAAAATACGTTCGGTTGTGTCAGAACATCTTCTCTGGAATGGGTTTTTGAGTGGGTACACTAAATGGCTACTTCATGGAGAGTTATTCTCTAACGAAGTGCCGTCAAATAAATATGATCATATGAATGCATCTGATAACATGGAAGAAATGTTGCATGATGCATTTTTCGTGCATGATGAAATCAATGATGAAGAAACAATTCCAAATATCGAGGAAGTAGAAAGACCTTGTAAAGAAGCTGAGAAATTCTATAAGCTCATGAAAGATGCAGAAAAAGAACTTTATCCTGGATGTAAAAAGTTTTCCAAACTTTCTTTCATTATTCGATTACTCCAGATAAAGTGTCTTGGTAATTGGAGTGATAGTTCATTTACCTTGTTGCTTACTTTATTAAGAGAATCGTTTCCAGAGGATGTTCAATTGCCTAATAATTATTATGAAACTCGGAAGATAATTAAGGATTTGGGTTTAAATTATGAGAAGATTGATGCATGCAAAAATGACTGCATGGTATACTGGGGCGTGAATGAATATAAGACCAAGTGTGAGACTTGTGATGAGCCAAGGTGGACCACACCAGAAAGTACTCCGGATGAGAATGATCTTCCATCGAAAAAATCTAATAAAGATCAGAAGGTGCCTGTAAAAAGATTCTGGTACTTCCCGTTGAAGCCAAGGTTGCAGAGGTTGTTTATGAATTCTAAAACTGCGGTCCTTATGAAGTGGCATGATGAAGAACGAACTAAGGATGGTATCATGAGACACCCAGCCGATTCTCCAGCATGGCAAACTTTTGACTACAATAATCCCGAATTTGCTAGAAATTCTCGCAATATAAGATTGGGCTTGGCAACTGATGGTTTTAATCCTTTTAAAACCATGAATGTAGCCCATAGTACATGGCCAGTAATATTAATGCCATACAATCTTCCACCTGCAGATTGTATGAAGAAGTCTTACTTTATGTTATCTGTACTTATACCTGGTCCCTCTGAACCCGGCAATAATCTTGATGTATATTTGCAACCCTTGATTGCTGAGCTAAAGGAATTATTTGAAGTTGGAGTAACTACATACGATGCTTCTTCGAAAACAAATTTCCAAATGCGTGCAGCTTTATTATGGACTATTAGTGACTTTCCTGGCCTTGCATCTATATCTGGTTGGAGCACGAAAGGAGAATTCGCTTGTCCCGTGTGTTATAAGTTTACTAACTCTAAATGGTTAGAAAATTCTCGCAAGTACTGTTACATGTGTCATCGTATTTTCTTACCGGATGGTCATCCGTATCGAAATGAGAAAGCCACGTTTGATGGGAAAAAGGAACTTCGAAAGGCACCCCCTTATTTGAAGGGATCCACAGTATTAGATGATATCAAAAATATTGATAACAAGTTTGGAAAGAATGTGGGCGATTTAAATTTACCTTACAGCTGGAAAAAAAAAAGTATTTTGTTTAATTTGCCATACTGGGAAAAAAATCTTGTACGTCATAATCTCGATGTTATGCACATTGAGAAAAATGTGTGTGATAAGGTTTTGTATACATTAATCGATTCCGATAAGTCAAAGGATAACTATAAAGCCCGCATGGATTTGAAGAAAATGGGCATTAGGAATGCACTCCATCCTTATTTCGATGAGTTTGGAAAAGAGTGGATACCGACATCATCTTTCACATTAGATAAATCTGAGAAGGAAAGATTTTGTAAGGTGTTGAAAAATGTTAAAGTGCCCGATGGTTATGCTGCAAATATTTCGAGGTGTGTGCACTTGAAACCAACTAGGATTTTTGGTTTGAAGAGTCATGATAGTCACATAATGATGCAACAATTGTTGCCCCTTTCATTGCGCAATCTTTTGCCAAAGTCGGTACGTTCACCTTTGATTCATTTGAGTCGTTACTTTAGAGACTTGTGTTCTAAAACACTTCAAGTCGGTGATTTGACACGAATGGAAAAAGAGATTGCTCTCATACTTTGCCAGCTTGAAAAGATCTTCCCCCCTGCATTTTTTGATGTCATGGTACATCTGACTGTGCATTTGGTTACTGAGGCAAAATTAGCTGGTCCGGTACATTATCGTTGGATGTATCCTGTTGAACGGTAAAATTCTAATATTATTTTTAATTTTTAATTTTTAATTTTTATTTATATTATACTAGTATTAAATATTGCTGATTATGTAGGTACTTGAGTACATTGAAATCTTATGTACGCAACCGATGTCGGCCAGAAGGATCAATTGCTGAAGGGTATTTGGCTGAAGAATGTTTAGCATTTTGTTCATTATATTTCGATGAAAATGTTGAAACAAGACGCAATCGGACGAGTCGAAATAGTTGTGGAGGTGAAGACAGCACAAAAGGTTTAGATATTTTTTTTATGTCTGGTACTCCGTTATGGAAGGGGAAGGTAATTATTTTTGATAGCGAGACACTGGCAAAAGCTCATCGATATATTCTATTCAATTGTGATGAGACTACGGCATACAGAGAGTACGTTGACCCAGATAAAAAAAAATATTTATTTAATTATGATGATATTTAAGTTGTTGCTTAATTTTTCATGGTGTTTATGCAGAGAACATGAAGCACAACTTAGGCGGAAGAAACACCGTTCTAGGGAACATGAAATTAAAACCACTCACAGTGATACTTTTGCCTCTTGGTTTCAATGTCATGTAGGTCACTTTAAAAATAATAAGTTATCTATCTATAAGTCTTTTACTTTTAAATTTAAGCGTAAATATTTTTTTGGCAGATTGAAGAATTGAAATTAAGTGAAGACGATCCTAAACAAAGTGATGTAATACGTCTTGCAAGGGGGCCTATTCCTGTTGGAACTAGATATAGAGGTTTTAAAGTGAATGGGTTTCGATTTCATACTAGAGAACTAGAGAGGAAAAGAAAAACCCAAAATAGCGGTGTGATGGTTAATGCAACAACTACAAGTTTCGCAAGCAAAAAAGATATGAGACCTATCGTACAAGAGATGATGTATTATGGGATCTTGAAAAATATTATTGAGTTCGATTACACCGGTGGAAAGAAGATTGTATTATTTGATTGTGATTGGGTATCCAAAGGCAGAAGGCAAAAAGAGGATGATGATGGATTCACTTTAGTTAATTTTACAAAAATAAGGCGTCAAAGTGAACCTTTTGTTCTTGCATCACAAGTTCAACAAGTGTTTTATGTTGCTGATCCCATTGAAAAAGATTGGCATGTAGTGATAAAGACAAAGGCGAGAGAGAAGTTCGATGACGGGAGAGACGTAGCTATTGATGGCGTTGATACTATTTTGCAAAGTAAACCATGCAAAGATCGTCCTATCATTGAAGACGAACTAGTTTCTTGGGTTCGAGAGGGGGTTCCTGAAATTCCAGTGGATAGTTTAGATGATGCATGATGTTCTTAAGTAGAGTGTTGGTGCCTGCTAATTTTTTATTTATTTAGAATTTGTTATTTTTTATGATTGCAGGTGTCATTGGTTCTGTTACCAAGACACTTTTTATCGTCTAAAATATAATTTAGTGCATGTAATTATCCTTATGTTTTTATATGATGTATGTAGTTGAGTAGAATTTTTGAATTTATGTATTTATTACAGAGTGATGGCAAGAACTAAGTATAGCAAAAACGGTAGGCAATTAAACCGTCAAAATGGCTCAAGTTTAAATAGGTTGGTCGACGAACAAGATCCCGAAGATATGTTAGGTATGTATCTTTATATTTTGCTGTACTGGTGTTATTTCTTTATAATGCAATAGTAATTAATTCTTGATGTTGTTTTGAAACTATTATATAGGAATTGAAAGCATTCGGCGTGGCAAACGAATTAGAGATTGTGATGATCACCACCATCCATTGGATAATTCATATTCAAATGTTATGGTTAATGACGTAGAGGACACTACAGGTATATTTTAATATTGTAGTATACATGTCCATAGTATTTTTTGTAAATCTCCCTTCAATTTATTTAACTATTTTTTTTTTTTATTTTACAAAAGATGTTTGTGATAAAAAAACTAGAGGGCCTACTTACATGGCACGTGTTTGGGTAAGGAGTGGGCGTAAAGAAGTTGAATTCAATGAGTATGGCCAACCAATTGGTCCAAACAAAAGTGAATATGTTGAATTTATCGGTACATTAGTTAGAAATGGCAAGTTACTTCCTATTGACATTAAAGATTGGCATGTAGTGCCGAATTCTACTAAAAGCAAGTTGCTGGATTTGGTTAAGGTAATACGATTTAACCCTCGTCTTTATACAATTGAAATATATATGTTTTGAAACTATTTGATCACTATGTTTGCATAATTCAGGAGAAGTTCTATGATGCACCTGGCTTTGAAAATAGAACATTGATGAATTTAGCAAAGAGTTGGAGGAGCTGGAAAAATAGAATAAAATCAAATTATTTTGATCGAAACAAATCACTGGAAGAAAACTTGCGCAGGAGACCTGATATTGATGATGAAAGAATTCTTTGCGATCAATGGAAAAATGCTGTGATTTATTGGAGTAGTGATGCTGCACAGGTAGAATTTTTTTTTAATAAAATCTTAATTGAAGATAATGCTACTGTATAACTAGTGATTAATTCACTTTGTAATTTATTGATCCATAGAAGTTTTTTTTTTTTTGCATATTTAGAAAGTAAGTGATAAAAACAAAGATAACAGAGGAAACAAGAGCATGCATCATGTTACTGGAAAACGGAGCTTTGCGCAAGTTAGGCATCATATGAAGGTTTGTTTTCTCGTAGAGATAGTTATTCCAAATAGCATGCATCATGTACTTATTCAACTAACTATACATATTATCTTGTAGACAGAGTTAGAAGCATCGAAAGATGCTACTGTTGATGATGAACAAAGTGGTGATAGAACACATGTTGATCCTATCGTAATTGAACCAAGTAGGTCTGAACTTTTTGAGAAATGCTATACTCGCAATGGAGAGTCATCTAATCCGAATGTAGCAGATTCTCTCGTAAGCGAGTACATTCATTTTATATACATATATTTTAAAATTTTAAATATGATAATGCAACGGTTTAATGTTGTCTAATTTAGAAGTTTGATTTGATCATTTACATGCGCAGCGTAAGATGAAAGAATTAATAAGTGAACTTCCAGATAATGCAAATGATAGTGGCCCAAATGACATTTTTTCTCAAGTTGTGGGACAAGATAAACGGGGGAGAATAAGGATGTATGGTTGCGGTGTCACTGCCTCTGATGTTTACGGTGACATGCCTAGACGAAGGTCTTCTCATAATATCGTATGGCAGAATGAAATGTATGCATTAAAGCAAAAAGTTGAACAACAAGAAAAGATGATAACGGAGTTCATAAAAATGAACCAACAAAGACCTAGCCACTATTCTCCACCTCCATCTGAAAATAGAGTCACTTCATCATCATCTCACCCCCATTCGACCTCTCGTGGCCCCTCAGTCTCGTCGTCAAGCAAGACGCCTCTAAAGGTAATCCCTCAGTTTTCCCTTGTCATATGAACATTGATTATTTATCGTGTATTAAATTGGAATTACATGTGGTGAATGATTTATAGTTGATTGACTTTGCAATTCATATTATCAATTTATAATTATTAATGTAGGTTGGAGCAAAAGTATGTCTGAGAAGTATGTTTGAATCATCAAAAATTGTAGCAATTGGTATTCTTGCAAGCTTGGATCCATCGAAATGCGTTGGGCAAGTACGACTAGGGCAAAATTGGTGCGAAATCATTATTAATGTTGGAATAGCTATGGATGAAGACTTACTTCGACCGATATCAGATTCTAGAACTACTATTGGTGATGCTATTGGTGAGGCTATTGCATGGCCACATAATTTGGTAATACTCTTTGTATTTCAATATACTAAAAGTTATTCTGGTCCTTTTTATCAGTGATATAATTTATTGTTTGGTTGTCTTAATAGGTTACAGTAGATGGATAATTTTCAGAACATGGACTTCGAGATTTCATGGAGACGAGCTTTCAAGTTCTGATATAAGATAATTCCCTAGGTGACTTTGTTTTTGGATGAGCTTTAGGTATTGCTCATGTTCTGGTACATTTTGCAAAATTGTTAGACTTTTATTGATATTATATGTTTTTCTATTAACTAGTGCAGTAACTAGAATTTTTTTTGGGAAAAACTTTTTGTTTGAAATGAAAATATTTGTTACTTTACTATTTATTTTGCCTTGGAAAAATGAAATGGATACTAATTAGTGATTGATTGTGTTTTTCAACCCCAATGGAGGTGGTGTTCGATTTAATTATTTGAGAAATGATTGACTATAATTTATATTTGAAAAGTGAAAATTAGATTTTTTTTTTTTTTAGTTTAATCTATATGGTGTGCCCGGTTGTGTCATAAAAATTGCACTGGGGACAAATTTGGTCTTAACGATAACACCTATTGGGACGACGTCTGTGTCACATTAACACTTATTGAGACGGTTAATAAAATCAGTTAAAACTGTTGGAATATTTAATACGACGGTTGACAATGTCACAAGAAAACTGTTTTGGGACGGCTAGTGCAATTTGTTGGGACGCTTTAGGTTGTCATATTTAAAGTTAAGTAAAGCCGTTAAAACACCTAATACGACGATATCTGGCGTCATAATAGAAATGAATTGGGGACGACTTGGAGCGTCATAAATTAAAGTTATTGGGACGCCGCTGATAATGCGTGACAACAATATATTAGGACGCCTACCTATGAGACGGTTTAGTGGGCCGTCCCAATAGATAAACCGTCTCAATATGTACATTTCGTGACACATTGTGGCGTCTTGATAAACTGTATTTCTAGTATGATCGCTGTTGGAATCCAATTTTGACCATGTTCGAGTCCGAATTTGGAAATTTGACATTAGACAGGAATTGTAGCCAGCTAAAATAGCTTTCTAATGCCGCCGTAACCAGTCGATTTGGAGTCCGGATGAGAAAGTTATGCTCGACTTCGTGGGCACTACCGAAGATGTTGAGGGATCCTCTCTTCTATTTTGATTTTATTTTCCTAATTGCAACTCTTTTCTTACTCTTTGATCATTTTTGCTTCATGGACACCTAATTATCAATTTGTACCTATAGAATACTAAATCCACCAATTAAAACAGAAATATAAATTAATCCATAAAAAAATCCACGTAAACGTAAACGTTGAGTGTTATTTCTACACTCCACCGTATCTTTTGTATCTAGTGTTTTTGCTGAGGTTTGGTTATGCGCATTAAAGTCCTAGTGTTGTACTTCGTGTTTTTAAGAACGTTGTTGGGAATGCACTTCTGCGCATGTTTTTTTACATGTATGTTTGTGCATGTCCATTTGAGCGAGTGTGTTTGTGCATGTTTGTTGATTTGTATTAATGTCCTAGGATTGTAGTTTGTGTTTTTATGATCCTTTTTGCGAATGCAGTTTTGCGTGAGTAAATTTGTGCATGATTTTGTACTTTTACTTATGTGCGTATCTTTTTTAGCGAGTGTTTTTGTGCACGTTTCTTGATGCGCATTCGTGTCCTCGAACTGTAGCGGGTATTTTCATGATCGCTGTTGGAATCCAATTTTGACCATGTTCGAGTCCGAATTTGGAAATTTGACATTAGACAGGAATTGTAGCCACCTGAAATAGCTTTCTAATGCCACCGGAACCAGTCGATTTGGAGTCCGGATGAGAAAGTTATGCTCGACTTCGTGGGCACTACCGAAGATGTTGAGGGATCCTCTCTTCTATTTTGATTTTATTTTCCTAATTGCAACTCTTTTCTTACTCTTTGATCATTTTGGCTTCATGGACACCTAATTATCAATTTATACCTATAGAATACTAAATCCACCAATTAAAACAGAAATATAAATTAATCCATAAAAAAATCCACGTAAACGTAAACGTTGAGTGTTATTTCTACACTCCACCGTATCTTTTGTATCTTGTGTTTTTGCTGTTGTTTGGTTATGCGCATTAAAGTCCTAGTGTTGTACTTCGTGTTTTTAAGAACTGTTGTTGGGAATGCACTTTTGCGCATGTTTTTTT